CTCACGGATGTCTCAAAAGCTAAAAGGAAATCAGAGCCCCCTGTCTCCCCCCACTGCGCTGGCATTATCCTCCGATGTTCCCACAAGGATTCAGTATTGCACCCACACGGAGTTCATCGGGGCACTGCATAGGGTCAGAGAGCCAGGAGGAGTGAGGTCTGGCCTTGAGATCAGAGCACTATATGAAGTGCACGTGCCCTGTGTAAAATGAGAGAAAGACGGTGTAGCCCAGGGCCTGGCCCTCCCTGCACTGGGCATCCTGAGGGCTAGGTCCTGTCTGTAGCAAGCTAGTGGTGGCGCCCACCTTGGAGGAGTTCTGTGAGCTGGAGAGACAGGACGGCATGGCCACTGACCTTAGCCAAGAGTCTTCGCTTTCTACCCAGATCCTGCTTCGTTCTCTCCTCAGCCTGCCGCGCTCTGGCTGGGTACCATGCCCTGGCTTACAAGGCTGGGAGGGCAATGGTCCTTCTGGAAAGTGTAACCTGCAGTCCAGGCCTGGGAGCCCCACCCAGCACATGTTGGACAAGTGTGCACCCGTGGAGCTGCCTTTAGGAGCAGACATGGCATGACATCAGAACGGTGTTCTGAGGAGGGTGGGGCTCATAGGAGGTCACGTACAACGGCAGGAAGCACAGCCTCCTTTGAGCCATATAGCCTAAGTCATGGGCGGAGCCAACCCCACTACAGGGCTCAACACAGATCTGGGTGCCAGAGGCTTAGGGCTGGTTCCTCTGCTTCCGAGATGATGTCGTGAATGACAGTTTGGCCTATGGAGAAATGTTGGGTCCTCAGAGGCAGCAGACTAGAAGGAAGGAGAGCTTACCACCTCCACATACCCTTCAGTCTGATATTCATCCATCCATGCAGACACATGACTACCCACTGGGTGTAGTTGGATTTTTCTTTGGGCTGCCAGCTTACAAATAATAATAATAATAATAATAATAATAATAATAATAATAATAAAATAAATTAAAAATGACACAGAGGCTTATTATTAATTATAAAAGCTTGGTCTATAGCTTAGGCTTGTCCCACTAGCTCTTATAACTTAACCGATATCTTTTAATCTATGTTCTTTTGTGTGGCTCGGTTACCTTTACTATGTACTGCTCATCTTGCCTCCTCTCCATCTGGCTGGTGACTCTGCCTTTCTTCTTCCCAGAGCTCTCTCTGTCCAGAAGTCCTTGCTAATACCTCTTGACTAGCTATTGGCTGTTTAGCTTTTTATTGAACCAATCAGAGTGACATATCTTTAACACAGTGTAATTAAATATCATGCAACAATTGGGCTCATTCTAGCACTGCTTTGTGGGGCAAAACTGTCAAAGCACAACCACCAACAACCCCACAGACTCGTTCACTCAAGAAAGACCTTTGTCCCTTTGATAAGGTCACTGACATCCCAGGTCATGACCTATCGCTCCCCCCCCCCCATTTCCCAAAGGCAATTGTCCCACAATCTGGCAAGTTATATATGGGTTGGTCTCCTCTCTAAAGGCGGTGTGTGTCTGGTGGTGGTCTAGCCCTGGGAAACACAGTCTCTGTCTATCCAAGAGACTGGTGTGTGACCTTATCCAAGTAACTTCCCTGCCCCACACAGGTATGGTGAGCAGATCTCGGGTTTGGAGACCCGATGGGTTAGAAAGCCTTTTCAGGTCTCCCCTCGGTTAAGAGAAGGGGACAAACATGGGCCCTGCTTCTTATATAAACAAATGAGGCTGGGCGGTCATGGCGCACGCCTTTAATCCCAGCACTCGGGAGGCAGAGGCAGGCAGATCTCTGTGAGTTCTAGGCCAGCCTGGGCTACAGAGTGAGTTCCAGGAAAGGCACAAAGCTACCCAGAGAAACCCTGTCTCGAAAAACCAAAAAAAAAAAAAAAAGAGAGAGAGAGAGAGAAAAAACAAATGAACCCGGCACATAGCCTAGGCCCTAATAGGAAGAGACGGCAGTGAGTCTTTAGTCAGGGTAAGGGACTTTCTCAGGGAGCTGGATGGCTCAGGACTAAGGGAACTGAGATATTTGTGGGTCATGAAATGGAAAAGAACCTAGGGTTGAGGAGGGGGGGACACATCAGCTTCCTGACCTAAAACCATCTCATACTTGGCCGTTTGGAATGGGCTGCAGAGAATGTCACCTATGAAACAATCCAGAGTGGTATCCCTGTCCCCAAAGGGAACTTAGGAAACACCAGCATCCCCTACTCTGTCCTGTAGTTTATCCCACCAGCAACCCCGCGGGGTAGACCGTGCTAGATCCACTTTATCAATGATGGCCTGAGGCTCAGACAATTCTTGTCTTGTTCCAAAGACCTTGCTGTCATCACTGTCGCAAACATAATCATACCCTCGGTACCTCCTTTTGAACCCAGAGTGTGCTGTGTGGACTAGAATCGTGTTAGTCTCCAGTGGAGATCAGAAAGGTCCATGGATCCAAGAAGGATCCATGGGATCGAGGCTTCCTAACTGGCACCTTGATCCAGGGTAGACACTAGAAGACTAGAGTCAAGAGCATCGCAGCCTGCAGCCAACAGTGGACAGAGAAGAAGTGGGCAGCTGAAGGCACAGGGACAAATGGCCAGGGCTAAGGGTGACATGCTGAAGCTTCACCAGAAGCTGGCTACAGGGCAGGTCGAGGCAGGCAGTCTATGGGCAGACCTGGCTTCCACACCTGGCTCTGAGGCCCAGCCAGGGCACCTAACTCCACTGGCTGTTGCTGTGGGATGGTCTGTATGTTAAATTGCTCTGATTGGTCAATAAATAAAACACTGATTGGCCAGTGGCCAGGCAGGAAGTATAGGTGGGACTAACAGAGAGGAGAACAGAGAAAACAGGAAGGTGGAGGGAGTCACGGCCAGCTGCCACCATGACAAGCAGTATATGAAGATGCCGGCAAGCCACAAGCCATGTGGCAAGGTATAGATTTATGGAAATGGATTAATTTAAGCTATAAGAACAGTTAGCAAGAAGCCTGCCACGACCATACAGTTTGTAAGCAATGTAAGTCTCTGTGTTTACTTGGTTGGGTCTGAGTGGCTGTGGGACTGGCAGGTGACAAAGATTTGTCCTGACTGTGGGCAAGGCAGGAAAACTCTAGCTACAGGCTGTAGCTGCCTTGTTTATGATGCTAGCTCTGATCCTCTATATCATATTGGATCTAAGTGGTTTGTAAAGATTAAATAAGAGGCCGGAGAGATGGCTTAGCAGTTAAGAGCATTGTCTGTTTTTCCAGAGGACCCGGGTTTAATTCCCAGCTCCCACATGGGAGAATTACAACCACCTATTAACTCTAGTTTCAGAGTACCCAGCGCCCCCTTCTGGCCTCTCTGGGCACTGCTTGCATGTGGTGCCCGGACATCCATGCAGACAAAACACCTGTACATATTTTAAAAAATAAAATGAGATTAAATAACATAAACAGGAAGTGTTTTGTGTTAGATCTGGTGTGTGATAAGTAGTCAACAGAGGGTATACTATGAAGCTGGGGCCAGCCAACCCTTAGGGGACCTGGATACAGGGACAAGCTAGCACACCCTGGGACTGTGTCTACTGAGGGTGATGAGGAAGGGCCCATTGCAGAGGGCATGCTGGGAAGACTGTCATTCTAGAAGGCACAGTCCAAGCCCATTCTCCTCTGTTCCTCTTGGGCTGGGGCTCTGAAAAGGCTGTCTGTTTAGGAACATCCCATGGCCACACCTCCCAGGCAGACTCTGGTGAGAGGCGCACAGAGACACCCATCTGCACCGCCAGAGCCAGTGCCCAGCAAGGGGAGGGGCCTGAGATTAGAGGCAAGTGCACCCCCACCCCCCCCATCTGCACACACACACTGGGGAAGGTGCCAGCATGGTCCCAGCAGAGGGGAAGAGAACACTTCCCTGCAGTCCTGCCAGCCCGCACCGTGTTCCAGCTTGTTGACCGGGTGATGGCATAATTACAGTTTCAATCACAGATTAATAATAAGTCGTTTTTGCAAACGAGGAGGCAGGTCTGCACTGGAAAGGGCCCCAAAGGGCCCGTCGCCTCTGCTATCGGAGGCTGCTGGCCTCTGTTTGATGTTTTTTGTTTTTTTTTTTTTTTTTTTTTTTTTTTTTTGCCGACCTGAGATTTTTCTAAGGACGTTTATAACAACCACTACCACCTCAGTAATAGCGCCATCTTGGCCTGCCCCGCTGGCCTCAGATGATGATGGAACCAGCTCCAGAGAAGGCATCTGCCTGGGTGTACGTGTGTGTGTGTGCACGCCTGTGTGTAAGAGTTCCCTGGGCCCAGAAAGGTACGGCTGAGTGCACACGTGTGCTAGTTTCTGTGCATTTGACGTGCCGTGTGCATGTGCTCTCACGCGACATCAGCGGTGCCAAGGAGCCCCTCGCGGAGAAATTAGCTACATAAGCACGCTCCTTCGCCACCCCCAGGGGACTGCGCTAGAAGACTGAGGAGGTCCGAGGAAGCTTGTGACCGCCAAAGGGCTCCAGACCGGTAGAGCAAAGACCCAGCTCTAAGGTAGGGCTGAGACCCCGCCTGCAGGGCTGTGCTCCCAGAGGGGCTAGTGAGAAGCTGATATTAATAAGCACTCAAGTGTGTTTCGAGTTTTCAGATCCTCGATCCTCTGTTCTCCTCAATCCTTCTCAGAGCCCTGTTTTGTCCTCATAACCTATCTAAGGGGAGGGAGGACAGGCCTCCTTACTCTCCCTGACCCCAAGTGGACATAGGAACCATGAGGAAGGGGACCTTCCTGGGAGACACAATTCTGGATGACAAAAGTCGCTGTGATTAGACCCCCCCCCCCCCCCAGGTCTTGGGCCCTGCTTCAGCCTCATACAGACATCTAACCACTCTGCACCCTCTCTATGGATGCCTGGTCCCAAGGTCCTGGGGCAGGCAGGGTCCAACAGTCCCAACTCCCTTCAAAGACAAAGGGATTCCTGGGCTCTAGGGAGCTGCCATGTGACTTTGTTGACTGGGCTTCCGTCCGAGTGCCCAGAGCTGCATTCCAGCGTCACTGTGGAGCAGTCACACCCATTTTGCCCCTCGAGGACCGCGATCTGGTCAGCTCGTTCCTCTCCACCAAGCTGCTCAGTGATTTTTTTTTCTTTTCCCTTTCTCTTCTCTTCTCTTTCTTTCCTTCTTCCTTTCTTTTTTAACAACACTGTGAGGGCAGCCCCACCCAGCAAACCTCAGAGGAGGCTAGAAGCCAAGATGGAGGTAAGGAGGAAGGGTTCATAGGGTTGGCTCCCTGCCAGGTCCTGCCTGACCCTGCCTGCCCCTACTGCCTGCTCTGCCCCCAAGGGCTCCTGGTTACCCCGGTGTCTAGAGGGCAGGCCCATCCTCCCTCCAGAGCTGAGAGGCCGCCGCCGCCGCCACGCTGCTCCCGGAGCTGAGCTGACTGCCATTGCAGTTCAAAGTGATTGGAGGCAACATCTAATTACGTGCAGGTGGAGCATCACTTGGAGGCGGGCTATGAGTCACGGCCAGGGCCCTGTCTGAGCAGCCCCTCGGAGCCTCTGCGCCTGCCATGTAGTGGAGCTGGAGGGAGGAGCAGGAACCTCGGCTGGGCCCTGCCTGGAGGAACCCCACCAAGAGCCCCTTCCTGCGGAGGCCCGTGGGGGTCTGTTCGTGTGTGTGCCTAAGCTGGCCAAACAGTGAGTCCTTTATAAACTCATCTAAAGCCATCCTTCTCAGCACAGCGTACTTCTTCAGGGCCCTTCACCGACCAGTGTCCCTAACCTCTGGCTCCATGGTCAAGGCCGTTCTCCATCTGCTGCCTAGCCAAGCAAGGTTGGGAGCTTTTGAGTCACTGTTCAGCCTCTCTCTTCTGTACCAAGCAGTGCTCCGTGCACAGCAAGCCCTGAGTGAGTGTTTTCCCAATGAACAAATGTATGAGCAGCTGGGCACACAGGAGCCAGGCCCCTGGGCCCTTTCTTCCCGTCCCTTGAGAAGTGCTTTAAAGTGAACCGGCTTCCTGCTGAGCGAAGACAGAGCCTCTGGAAGCCAGAGCTGTGGCCGGGCAATCCTCCTTCCCAGGTCTTCAGGCATCCTGATGTGCCCCACTGCACTCACTGGGGGCTCAAAATCCACATTCTGGCCAGCAGATCCAGCGACAGGGAAGAGTTGGTCAGGACATGGAGGGAATTTTGTTTTTTTATTTTTCCTTTTGTTGTGCTAGAGATCAAATCCAAGGCCTAGGACATGCTAGACATGAGCTCTACCCTTGGGCCATGCCCCGGCTCCCACTGATGACATTTTTCAAATTTTAATTTTAACTCTAAGTGCACATTGGGGGTGGTGCACATTAGTGTGGCCCTTGGAGACTAGAGGAGTCAGATACCCACACACAGGGATGCTGAGACTCCAGCTCAGGTCCTCTGAAAGAATGCCATATGCTCTTAATAGCTAAGCCACATCTCCAGCCCATTGAAGGCATTTTTAAAGAACAAATGGTCTCGCCAGGCAGTGGTGGCCCATGCCTTTAATCCCAGCTCTCCAGAGGCAGAGGCAGGTGGATCTCTGAGTTCGAAAGCCAGCCTGGTCTACAGAGCTAGTTCCAGGACAGCTAGGGCTGTACAGAGAAACCTTATCTCAAAAAATAACAAAATAAAAAAGCAAAAAAAAGAGGGGGTCTGTCTTCTTCTATCCAGACCCCACTCTCCAGTCCTCAAGAATGTGGAATATGTTGTTCTGTCTTTCATTCCTATGATAATCACAGCTAAGTTGCTACCTCTGGGCAGGTGCTACTCTAGACATACTAAATACATGAATGTAGACAGAAGTTTTTCTCCCGCCCACCAGTACCCAAATAACCAGTCAGAGGCTTAATAGTCATTACAAACTGTTTGGCCTATGGCTCAGGCTTATCATTAAC